TGGGAAGTTAAACACAGAACATGCACGACCAACATTTGGGGGTAGTCACTGCGGCAAAGCACCCAGAAACGCTCCCTTTGCTATGACAGACAACAGTAATTGCTAATGCACTTGTCACTGAAGATGCCCGGGAGTTGTTTCCCACCCTTGAAGAAAAAAAAAAGGCTTTTTTAAACTCCCGTTGGAAGGCTCAGTAAGAAGCCACTCCAAAGTGATGCCCTCCTCTTTTCTCAGTAGGATTAAGACAAATTTATAAACTGAAGTAACATTAGGAAATGGCTTAAAGGGGGAAAAGGGAAGAAATGGGACCGAAATAACATTTATTCTCCTTCCAGTTATTTTTGCAGCATTAGTAAAAGCCAACAGGAACATTCAGAAAAAAAACCCTTAGCACAGTCCCTGGGAAAGCCCAGGGGTCAGTGACAAGAAAGCACACCACACTGGTAGTTAGCAACTCTCATTTACAAAATCAGTTTTCTCTGGGGGGAAAAAAAAAAAAAAACACAACAGAAATCTAGTCGCAACTGATAATTCAATGTCTGACAGTTTAGTCATTTGTAATCTGAATTTGAACTTCAAGGTTACCCTTTGTTACCCTTTATAATGGAGGTCCTCCTCATTACATATACAAATTCATTTCTCATCTTCAATTCCATTTCCTTTACTATTACGTAGAACTCTCATTTTGGAGAGGAAGGCTAGAACACATTTCCATGACACTAGTTAACCTTTATTGGAACAGTCTTGTTAGCAAATCTAGAAGAAACTAAGTGAGCTCCCAAGGAATTAAATCCTTTCCACTGCAGCAAATCTTACCCGCGACAAGCTATAGCTCACAGTAGAGAGCTCTGTGGAAGACTGTGCCGATGAGCAGTTTTCCCTCGTAGATGGATGCCACTGAGGTTCCCTGCAGCACAGAGCCGTTGTCGGCGTAGACGCGCGTCACCGTGGGCTCCTCCGAGAGGATGTTCTGGATGCGCAGGACCTGCCGGAGGAGGGGGACACATCTGCTGAAACGGCCGTGGGTGAAAATCCTCCACGGATGGAGAGAACATCAGTATGTTAACTTAAACAAATTAATTGGGTTGATCAGTGGCTGATAACTGCGACCAAGTGATTCCTGTGATAGGGTCACAAATTCTGCTTCAGTGAAGCATGGTCGATGAAGACTGATTATTTTTTTTAACTGGTTGTACAACAGAGACTCCACCTCAGTAAATAAGTAAGGCAGTCATCCCCAGCACTAGGAAAGTGCAGTTTTTTCCAGCCTAAGAGTTACTTAATATCTTCTTATTTTCTCACTTTTTCCAGACAGAGTCAACAACTGCCTAGTATCATAAATCTACTGCTACTGAACATGATAATTTTGAAAAGCACCTTATGGGAAGCGTCAGACAAGGCTGAAATCAAACAGACACCAACCAGCCACCTGCATTTGTGGCCGCCAGCGTGCCGATGCCAGTACCGCATTGATTTCAGATGGAAAGAAAAATTACAGTGTCACCTACTGATGAACCACACTTGCACAGATAAATCATTCCAGTGTGAACGTTTCTGGTCATGCTTTGCACCCAGTCGATTATTTTTTGTTTGGCAAAGAAGTGCTCGCTCAGTAATTAACACAGTTCATCAAAATCTGATTGCGCCGCCACAGCTGCACAGAAGGCAGCCTGAGGAGTCCAGAATGACTGAGCTACTGGGTGGAAATTATTCAGTTGTCTCCTAAGGATCTGAATAGGTGTTTGTTAGTGAGTATACGCTGTTCAGGCTTTCCACTTGAGAGCAGAAGCTATAAGCTGGAAGCCAGCTCGGTCTCTGCTTTCACAAAGGCTGGCCAGGCACTTCTCTATGTAATGCAGAGTTAAGTGATACCAGGGTGATTTGAACAGAGCAATTTTCTGGCACAGACACAGCCAAGAGACCAGGGATGTCTCCCAAAAGGCACCTCAGAGGCAGGCAGATTTTCAGGATCGTCGTAGAATAGCTTCATCCCATTGGGATGACATCCTATCCAGATGTCTCCAGTGTGAGGATCAATAGACAAGTTATCAATCAGAGTGTCCAGCTGCAGTGTCTATCCAACACAGAGGAAAAACAAGAAAAAGAGAGAAGTTAAAGCGATCAGAAATCCTGGAAGCAAACTATAACATAACCAATAGACTTGTCCGAGACTCTTATCTGACATAAATTAGACTGATTTTTTTTTAAGAAATATTTTCTCCCCAGTGCTGTTTTTCTTTTCCCTCAGTATGCTTCATCCCTTCCACTGTGCCGTGAGAACCCTGCTTGCTGCTCCCAGCTTCCCGCATCGGCTCACTCACACCTACACTTGTGTTGATGACTTCAGTGCTTTGTGATCTGACCCGCACCGGCTGAGGCCAACTTCCAGCGCGGCTCCACAGCACGCCCCAGCATCCTGCTCTGGTTGCTGGTGTCAGGGTGGAAGGCCTGAAGCTCTGCAACAGGGCGCAAACCACCTCTGCAAACCCACAGCAGGAGCCATCCAGACCAGAACTTCACACACGATCAGGCTGAAATCTCAAGCGTTCACAGGGACTAATCTGTCCAAAATTCACATATGCCTCTTTTTTATGAAACAGCAGCACCTTACCTTCACATGAGTTAAATTCCAATTAGCATGTTTTTCCATAACATGGACATTATGATCAAATATATCTGCAACATAGATGTACCTTCAAAAGAAAGCACCTCTTAGCAATGTGTATGAGTAAGCAGACACCAAAACCAGTCCATTTCTCCCGTGCAAACCCAGCTCTTCCCAGGAGGAATGCCAGCTCACAGCTCTCACACAGCAATAGACATTGCAAGCAGGCCACAGGGCCCTGAATTGAAGCCAACATGCCAAGATGCTAATGTAGCTTCACACTGTGCCAGTTCTTCCATTACAACACTGAAGCAGGCTCTGGATCATGAGATCCACAAATACGCTTTTTTTTAAAAAAATTTAAGATCACCTGTCTACACCACAGGACCAATTAATTCAGTCATGCAGACTTTAAGACTGTAGAGCATTCCCCGCTTGCAGAAATCCTGCCCTGTTAATCCTTGCAAGCAATATACACAAACTTCTGTATCAGTTGGTTAAAATGCATCAACTTTTGATCTTATTGCATATAAACTACCATGCAAAGCAGCACACATTGCTTCTAGTTAAAGACCGAGACACATGACTTCTGTTCTACAAACCCTCCGTATCGCTAACATGGCACAGGTAACACCTTGCCTTACATACACCAGTTTAGACACCTGACCACAGGGGTACTGCATCTACAAATTAGGATTTCAGGGTTCTTTTGTGTGATCAAACAAAATCTAAGGCAAGGAGAAACTTACTTTTTGTCGAGTGAAATGTTAATTCCATTGGCTGAATAAAACCCAGCTGCTACTTCTTTAACTTCTTTTGGACTGTAGTAAACAACATTTGACCAAGTTAAACCCAAGAACATCTCCAAGAACATTAAGACAAAGTCAGAGAAGTAGTGGTCATTGGTAGCATAGAAGCTGTCTGGTCCCATAGCTACTATATCATTCACACTAGAAAAAATAATGAGAGGGAGAAAAATAAATAAAAGAATGAAATGAGAGATATGAAGGAGCATTGTAGGACTGCCCAGAATCCAGCCAGGATGTGGTCATCCCATAGACATAAAGGGGCTGCAATTACAGATGGTACTTCAGCTAGATACCAAGTTACTTAGAGCCTTTATACTTCTATTTTCTTTTACGTGAGCCAGGACTGTGTGGTGCTGAGACCTGAACAAGACCATAGGGCATCAGCTAGAGATCTGTCTATCTGTTCATAAGTTCATGGAAACTCCTCTCTTTTGATTACGTTCCAGTGGAAACCAGAGAACAGCTAGGAGTTGTGACAACTTTATCTATCAGGCTCTGTTTATCTTACAACCATTTTGCAGTAGGACAGACCAAGAAAATTTTGTATGCAACAAAGAAAAAGCTAAAAGTATGTATATTTTTACAGTGTAGCAAATTCAGAATAATAGAATATCTGAAGGTTCACATCTGCAATGACCTGAGACTGGGTTACATGGGAAAAGCAGAAATGGATTCCAAGCTAATTCACTGGCATCAATCACAGCAGCACTTAAGACTGATTTAATGATACAACTATTAAAAATTTCATTTACAGAAGAGACTGGAGAAACACAGTTTTTGATTACACAGATAAGAAGTAACCAATAAGAGAAAGAGGAAAGTTGGTTAAAGAGAAAATATGTCATGTTAATAATACCCTAAAACCAACATCATCCTACTTTGGATTTTACCAAAGCAGCCTGTTCTTCTCGGGGAAGACTGTATTTGGCTCCAATACCTTGTCAGAAGGTCATGTTGAATGGTTTTCAGGTGTACAAGAGAATTGTCATCTTCTACAAATTTAAACAATTCTACTGTGCTCTTCTGATGGGGATGGTTCACAACAAAGAGGTACACGGTGTCGTCTTAAAAAAAAGAAATGGAAACAGCTGAATTCTCTGCAACAGTTTGCATGGCTGAGCACCCACAGCTCTGAAGCAGACTCTAGTACAGAGCACACGTTGGGTTTGGTGCATTTGTCTCACGGTTCTTCAGAGGCAGAAGGACAAGTACCAAAGAAGTAATGCAGGATGTCACTGCCACTGGATCCAGATCTCCAGATACTCTTCTGCTGGGCTCACTCTACAGGGAGCTGCTGTGTAAACTACATTTTTGCTATTTCTACCAAGAGAGAAAGAAATCATGGCTTCATCCTTGTGCCCAAGCCACTCGGTTTTGCAATCTGAAGCAATACAGTGACTGGTTGCATGAAATAGCCACAGTCAGCTGGGAAGGAGGGCTTGTCATTCAGCTAGTTTGGGCTTTTTGGTTTATTTACTGCATCCTCTGAGAAAGCTGAAGGAGCATCCTTCTCCTGTACTCTGTGTAAGGCTGCAGGCCTTCTGCCCAGCCATTCTGATGAGACTATAAATTAGCCACCAGCAATTTCTCCAATACCTTCCCTTAAAGGCTGACTGTGTGGGGATGCAGGCCAAGCTGCAGCAATGCTGCTCTTTCTCTTCATATTTGTACACTTCTAATTGCCCTGCTAAAATCCTCAGTGAAAGGGCAAGGAGAAAGAGAGGAAGGAGAGCATGAAGGCTGTTTTATTGGTAGTCAGAGCCTGCCGTAGAAGAACATGTCTTGGGGATGAGAACATGATGGCCACAGAGTACCAAAGATTTTGGTAATTTACAGAGATTTGATAATTTACTGTTTAGCCACAAAAGTCTCCATTCTGGTCACTACCAGTCGGTGAAGCACGTGTCTCCTCAAAACCCTTGACCTCAGGGTGAGACAGATGTAAATCAGTAAAATAAACTTTGTGTGGTTTTCAACTCCTCAAACTTTTCCCATATTTTCTTTCCTTTCAATATATAGGACATCTTTCTGTCTCAGACAGCCTGAGACTATGTGCAAAGATGTTTGCTTTAGCAGCTGACATTTAGAAAAGAGCCCAACAAAGATAAAAAGCCTGAAAAATCTTCTCTCCCAGCAAGTGCAGGCTATTGGGGGTGCAAGGCAAGGCTGCAAAGGGATTTCTGTTTGTGCTCTTTAGGCTGAGATTTGCCACCACCTCGAGTTAAAGATCTCTTTACCTCTGTCTACATAGGTGCTGATTCCGTGAGGGTTAAACGACGCCACATCAAACCCTCGGCTGATTCTCAGTTCTACTGCTCTGGGATTGTCTTCATTCAAATCCATCAAAAATATTTCACCTGGCTTGTCTGGTGCAAGGCTTTTTATTCCTGGATATTTCAAGCCCTGTAAAATCAAAATGTAAGAAAATCATTCCTGAATAAAAGCTAAAGGGAAGCATCACAGGAGCTGAAAACGCCGGAGCCTTGTTTGGGCTTGCAAGCACACATCAGGATGTCCCTCTGCTCCAGCCCACGGTGCCACGATGGAGGTAGAGGGACCGGGCTCTGCTCTCCCTGGCGAGCCCTTAATCGCAGCGCAGAGGGAGCAAGCTGCATGGAGGGCACGAGGGGCCATGCCCAAGGCACCACCTGCCACCCGGGCCCTGGCACCGCTGCCACCCACTCCAGCCACCCTCCCGTGGGTGCTCCCCGTATGGCAGAGCACTCTGCAAACAGACACGCCGGCGGGACAAACTGGAAGTACGGCACCACTGACTGCATCCAATGTGGTAAAGCCACGGGGAACAGCAGCAGTGAGACAGCTCACCATTTCTGGCATGAATTTTTGCAACGTTATCATTCCCTGGCTGTCCCCGGAGCACATAGATGAAAACATCAGCTTTTGTTTTAGAAAATAAGCACTAGCCATCCTGACTGCAAAGAAAAGCTTGAAAACCTGTATCCTAAAGGCTAAAAAAAAATCAGGAACAACAAAGTCAACACAATAAATCTGATTTTTTTTTTTAAAGGTAGGCAATTAACACACCTTCTTAACAAGGGAGAGGTTTGACACACCAACATTTCAAGGAAGCAGCACAAAAGAAATTCAAGGTTACGTGGGCAGATAAACCAGTGCAATAGGATACATCTGTCAGAGCCACCACCACCACTTTAGTGTCAAGAAGTGCATTCGCTCAAGCAGAAGGAAACGTTGGCTAAGCCAACACAAGTCTGGACAGTTCCTACAGAGCCAGCCAGCCTGTAGAGAAAAGAGTCCATCCTGCCGTTTTCATCTGTGGCTTCTGTAGATAAGGAAGAAGGCAGGGCCCTGCATGGGAGGGGGCGTGGGCACTTACGGAGCTGATGAAAGCCAGTCCATTGGGAAGTATGTCAATGTCTTCTGAACCAGTTTCTGCAAGACAGAGATGAACAGCATTTTTCAAATGACATGAAATGATATTTCTCATCAAAACCCCTCCTTTTTAGTACAATTCCAGTGCTCATGAATGTCCCTTTCTGATACGACTGCACAAGCAATGAAGCTCAGCAGAAAAGTTCACATTGCATTAGAAGTGGTAGCAGACAGCAGCAGCACGCCAGGTTAGGAAATAGTACTGGGGTTCACCCCTTTCTGGGGGCTTAGGGGTGTCCCCGGCGTGGCCGGGCAGTCCTGGCTGCGTCCGGGGTGATGCGCGATGAATCACTCACTTTTGACAATAATGTTCCACAGCAAGCAATTAGCACAGACGATGAGATTTTCAGGGCAGGATCGTACCCATCACTCAGCCCACATGCTTGCATAAGGCAGCCCTGGGAATTGCACACACTAATTCTCCTGGTTGAGCTGGGACACTTCACTAAGATGGATTGCCAAATATTTAGCTAAAGCTCTCAAGTGACAGAGAACCTACCGTATCTTTAACAGCTAAGGGCTTTAATAGTTAGACCACACTTTTAACTGTGGGTAATCATTTCCAATATTGCCAGGTCCAGTAGTTTCTGTAGTATTTTTCCCTGCTAGGAAAATACAATTAAAAAAAAAAAAAAAAAAGCCCTTTATAGGTTTTGATCAAGCACTCTCCATAGAGCTTTTAGTCTGCTTTTGCCATCCCACATTTTCACCACCACCCTGAGACTCCTCCTCTCTCTTCTCCAAAACACCAGCACAAACAGCACTCCCCACAAGCCACTTTCCAGATGATGTCTGGATTAAACCCACCTGGGAGCATTTGCTTAAAGGAGGAAATTGTTCTGCAGGTTTTCTTTAACAGAGCCACCAACACAAAGGTTTTTCCACCCAGCTTGTCCCATCTCACCACACCCCCTCCTGTTCGGCCACAGACCACCCGTGTGACCCTACGTGGGTCACACCATCCCTGGCACCTCAGCACCTCCTCCTGACGAAGCGCCTGCAAATTTGAGCTGGGTTTATTGTTCGCTTTTATGTAACTCCCATTTATCTCAGCACTAATTCGGCCAGGCTGTAATTTATCCTGGGGCCACCAAACAGCCCTTGTGGGGAGGAACCAAGTCCCCAAATTTACCCATCCAGGCAAGTTCCTCCTCAGCTCAGCCCTGGGGAAATGCAGTGGCACAACTTCTCCTGGAGGAACAGGGGACAGGGACAGGGACAGGGACAGGGACAGCTCCTCCTCAGCCTCAGCAAGCCCCTGCTCCAGCCCATGACAGTAAGGAGCAGAGCATCCCTGCCTTCTGAAATGCAAAAGATCTGAAGATGCATTTTTGGGGGAGCCAGCCTGTCATTCCACCTCCTGGATTTTGGTTCTGAATTTTGACTGGGCTCAGGCAGGAGGCACGCATCTGCACTGATATGCCCAGAGATATTTAGAGCCTGCGTCTTCCAACTAAAACTGTGGATGTGGGTTTTTTTCAGCTCAGCTCATGCCGTGGTTTGAGCAACAAACTCCTTTTCTTTGCCTCAGCTCTTGGTTTCTCCAAGTCTGGGTTCATTTATAAGATGGGGTTAGTGGTGATTCCCCATTTCCCAGGATTGCTGCAAAGATAACAACATAAATAAATGCTGAGAGGTTCAATTACTGTGATGATGTGAGCTGGACAGACAGCTTTTACTGGCACAGCACGCTGGTGAGTGAATCAACAGAGATATAATCATTTATCGCTATTGAATTAGTGAGGCTGCCAAGCAGAAAGACGAGCAGGCTAACTGAGAGCAGATAGTTAAAAAGTACAAGTTTCTGGTGGAAGGAGCACGACGAGAGCCCTGCACCCAACTACTTCGCAAGAAACTGCCCAGCAAAGCACATTTTGGCCACCTCCCAGCCATGTCCTGGTATGTGTGGAAGAGAGCGAGTGCTGTCGGAAGAG